AACACGTATGCAATAGGTGGCACGGAAGCACACAAAAAGCATACACACACACACACACACACACACACACACACGCACACATACACACACACACACACACACACACACACACGCATTAACACAAACCCCGTGAGCGTGTGAGGGCCCTCACCCGGGCATGGAAGGCAAGGTAGGCAAGCCGGTAAAACAAGGACTTTAAACAGAACAACAACAATAACAATCAACAACAACAATAAAAACAATCAGCAAAACAAAAACATCAACAACAACAATAAATACAATCAACAACAACAATAAACAACAAAAACAACACCCGATAACCTAATGGCGATAACAAGCGCTGACAAGGCGATAGAAGGGGGACTATTTTTTTTTTTTTTTTACGAGCTAGTCTACAGCCTACAATAAATGGCGATAGGGCGGCGCGCTCCCATTTTCTCGTATTTTCTCGCTCCTTCACGTAGCGAGCGGGCGTCGGGACTGAGCGTAAGGTCAGCTTTACCAGCATTCCTCTACACGAAACCACATGCCTTGGGTCAGCTGTTAGCAGCGTCTAAACACACTGGTATGTACTTGTCGCGCACTCGCTATCCCCTCCGCTGTCTCGCGCTTTATTTGTTTCTCTCTTTCTTTGCTTTCTCTTCTCTCTCTCTCTCTCTCCCTGTTGTCCACAACAGACAACACACAAGACACAACACACAGATACACACACAGACACAGACACACACACAACACACACACCACACACACACACACACAAATCACACAATCTCACACACACACACACACACACACACACACACACACACACACACACACTACACACACACACACACACACACAACACACACACACACACACAACACCATATAAATATATATATAAATACATATATAATAAATATCTTTATTTTTCCAGTACATATAATATATTCTTATATAATATATAATATATAATAATATAATATAATATAATATATAATATATATAATATAATATAAATAAATCTATCTATAATATACGAATATATATAAATTTACATATATATACATAATATACATTATATATAATATATATATATATATATATAAATTATATACTATATATAAATATACATATACATATATGGAATAGGGGTACGTGCGTGTGGGCAGGTAAATAGCTAGGCAGTTAAACGCGCGTGCATGTTGCTCTTACTTCACGCTTGTGTTTGCATGTATGTATGTATGTGTGTGGTAGATGTCAACCCAAAACATAATCTCCGGTTAGTTTACATCACTCAGCTGTTACTCAGACGACCAAGAACTTCACCAGCTGATCAACCGGTGATATGAGAGACCGCTAGATAAGATAAGAAGGGCGAAACTGGGGGGGGGGGTAGTAGGGAAGGAGGAAGGGGGGTGGGGGGGATGAGCGTCGCGTTGTTTGATTGGAAAAGAAAGAGGAGAGAAGAAGAAAGGAAAAAGAAGAAGAGAGAAGGAGAAAAATAAAGAAAACTTAAAGAAAACTTAGAATAGGGAATAAAAATAAGATAATAAAAGGAAATGGAAAAAAGCAGCTGCAGAAGAAGAAGAAAGAGAAGAAGGAGGAGGAGGAAGAGGAGAGAGTAAGGGAAGTAGGAAACAAGAAAAAGAACGAAAGACAAAAAAAAAGGGAGAGAGAGAAAGAAAACGGACGAGAACGCCAAAACAGAAAACCGAGTAAAGAAAAAAAAAATAAATAGGAACGCACAAAGAAGTGGAAAAAATAGACAAATGAGAGGGCGCCCCACTCAACCACCACCGCCACTGGTCCACCACCCAGCCCGCCCTCCCACCGCCGGTCACAGCCCCTTACGTAACGCCCACCGCGACGCGCGAAACACGGCGCCCACATCTCGCGCCTTGCCCCACCCCCCCCGCCGCCGCCGCCACAGGAAGCTTCCGCTAGGCCTTCCCTCTCTTCCTGGCTCTGCGGGGGGAGGGGGGGGCTATCCTCCTTCCTACATCCGGAAGGGGGGGGGCGCGGGTAGTCCTATCCACTTCTTCCTTCCCTTCCTTCCAACTCATTTTCCTTCGGCTTATCCACCTCCGTCTCCTGAATATCCTGTCTCCAGTTTCCTTTAAAATCCTATGCCCTATCCTTATCCATCTCCATCCTATGGGTCTGTCTCAAGCCTTATCTTTATCCTGCATCTTATCTCTCATGCCACATAGGCCTACCACCCCACTGACCGTAATCCCCGCCCTACCCCATCCCCACCCTCTCTACTCATCCACGACACACCTCGCCTATCCAACCTTTTTAACCATCCCCGCCCCCACCTTATCTTCCTCAACCCTCCCACCTAACCCATCTCTACCATCCACGACACATCTCCCTATTCCAACCTCTTTAACCCCCCCCACCCCCGCCCTAACTTATCCCGCCCCATACCTATCCCCGCCCCCTCTTAATCCCGCCTCGCTCTCCAACCTACCCCGCCACGTCCTTGGACCCTCAAAACACCCAGTAGCAAAACCCACGAAAAGGAAGAAAGATTTATATCCCTTTTCGCCCACGGGTTGGCGGAGAAGGTCACGCGCGGACAAGAACCAGCACAAACAAACAATAGGGAAGGGGGTGGGGTAGGGGGTGATGGGGGGGAAGGGGGAGGGGGGGAAGTAGCACTAACAACAAAACAAAAAAAAATGTCAGCTGATATGCATAAAACGCGACAAAACAAAGAATGGGGAGAGGGGGAGGTTGGAGGGAGAGAGGAAGAGGGGGGGGGAATGAGGGAAGAAAGGGGGGAAAAAGAGGGGAAGGGATGGGGAGGGAGAAAGGAGAGGGGGAGACGGATAACCTAAGGGTCGAAAGAGGTCGAGGGGAAATGACACCTTAGGGAGGGAGGGAGGGGGGAGAGGAAAGAGAGAGAGAGAAGAGAGAGAGAGAGAGAGAGAGAGAGAGAGAGAGAGAGAGAGAGAGAGAGAGAGAGAGAGAGAGAGAGAGAGAGAGAGAGAGAGAGAGAGAGACTATTTTGTTTTACTTTGACACGTTATTGAGACAAAAGTAAAATTTAGGCGAGAGAGACAGAGACAGACAGAGAGAAAGAGGCAGACAGAGCAGAGAGGGGAGGAAAGAGTCAATGGATCTTGTACATCGAGAATTACATAAAACCACTCATATTGCACAATCTATTGCACGCTGGAACAATCACGATGTCGATCGCCGTAGAAGGGTGCCGGACACAAAGAAAAACTTACATTATTATAAATAAGAGCCTGGTACCTTTTTTTCCTCCTATCCTTATCTCCCACGTTTGCTCCCTCTCCTCCCTCCCTCCTCCCCCTCCCTCCATCTCCTCCATCCCCCCTTTCTATTTCTTTTTCTCCTTCTCTCCTTATCCTTTCCTTCATCTCCTCTCTCTATTGTTCTCCCTCTCCTCTCAATCCCCCTTTTTTCCTCTTTCTCTCTCCTCCCTTCCCTCTTTCTCCTTTCCTCTACCTCTTCACTCCACTTCTCGCCCTCGCTCTCTCCTCCCACCCTCCCTCCCTCACATCCTTTCCTCCCCTCCCTCTCCCTCCTTCCTCTCCCTCTACACATCTCCTCCCATCCTCCCACTTTCCCTCTCCCTCTCCTCTCCCACCCCCTATTTCTCTCCCTCCCTCCCCCTCCCACTTTTCCTCTCCCCTCTCTCCCATTCTCCTTTCCTCTCTCTCTCCCTCCCTTGTTGCCCCCCCCCTTTCTGGCGTCATGAAACCCGCCGCAAACACGCGCGGACGAAAACACCAATGGCTTCTGGTCTTGCCCCCTCCCCTTTCCCTCTCCCTCACCCCCCTCCCTCCCTACCCCTCTCGGTTGACTCGCAGGGTGTCACTCTCCCGGTTTCTCCCTGGTCGATCTCTCTCCCTCTCTCTCTCTCGGTTGACTGTTCGCTCGTTTGCTTGCTTAACTGATTGATCATTGGTTTCAGTGAATGTTTTATCGACTGATTTTTCTTTCGCTTGCTTGCTCTCTCTCTCCTTTCTCTCTCTCTCTCTCTTCTCTCTCTCTCTCTCTCTCTCTCTCTCTCTCTCTCTCTCTCTCTCTCTCTCTCTCTCTCTCTCTCTCTCTCTCTCTCTCTCTCTCTTCCGTAACAAATTGAACACAGAAATTATAAATACCCAAACCATACCTCAATAACCCCCCCCACCCCCGAATAAAAATGAACATCTCCACAACACAAATGAAGTATTGAAACCCGCTTCGAACGCATTTCCGTCAGAAATACACGCATTCGAAACCGGTTCAATACACCCATTCACACCTTCCCTGCATCCGCCACAATGAACGCGGCACACAAAAACAACAACCTGTTTACACCCGCCTCCCTTAAGCACCTACTAAGCACCCCCGATCCACACACAGACGCAAAAAACACAAACAAACAAAAAACTCCCTCTTGCCCGCTATTTGCCCCACTCCTGCCCGATTTCAGCGCTGGGGACAAATAACCCGAGATTACAGCCAACCGCAACGCACATTTTCCGCGACATGTTTACGGCGTGAACGCAACCCGCGGTGGCCAGCGGTTGCGATACAGAACGAGCGGTTTGACATCATTCATTCCATACGTGAAATGGGCTTCTCATCGGAATATTTCTCTTTTTTACAAATCGAATCTCGTGCTTTGCGTAAGTACACGTTTTTACCAATGCTTCAGGCAAGGAGGTAAAACACTATCAATATACTGTACATTATGCTGTCCATCAGTAGGAAAAAAATGAAAAAAAA